TTCTAATTCTTTCTGTACCACAGCCCAAGGCAGTTCCAGTGAAGGGACATGTGATGAATTATATAGTCATTCTTATACCAATTTCTTCTTTATCCTGCAGCCTTTTTTAGCTTTATTTTCTTTAAACGGAATGTGGTGTTCTTTTTCACTTGCTATTTCTAACTATTTTGTAACCATATATCACTCCAGAGGGTCTAATTCAGCAGTGGGAGAAGGAATTCCTCTGTATGATTTATAAAGAGCTTTGGAATCCTCGGTGCTGAGAGGCTGTATGGGCTCAATCCTTCTTGCCTTATTCTAACTTACGGCAATGGGAACCAGGATGGATAGTTCTCTGAAAACATTGAGTGCAGCGGCAGTCAAAAAAGCAAACAGAATGTTGGGAATCACTAAGAAAGGGCTAGATAAGAAGACAGAAAATATATTGCCTCTATATAAATCCATGGTACACTCACATCTTGAATTCTGTGTGCAGATGTGGTCGCCCCCTCTCATAAAAGATATATTGGAATTGGAAAAGGTTCAGAAAAAGGCAACAAAAAATGATTAGGGTGTGGAACAGTTTCTGTATGAGGAGAGATTAATAAGACTGACACTTTTCATCTTGGAAAAAAGACGACTAAGCGGGGATATGATAGAGATCTATAAAGTCATGATTGGTATGGAGAAAGTAAATAAGGAAGTGTTATTTACTCCTTCTCATAACACATGAATTAAGGGTCACCAAATAAAATGAATAGGCAGTAGGTTTAAAACAAACAAAAGTAAGTATTTTTTCACACAACGCACAGTCAACCTGTGGAACTCCTTGCCAGACGATGTTGTGAAGGCCAAGACTATAACGAGGTTCAAAAAAGAACTAGATAAATTCATGGAGGATAGGTCCATCAATGGCTATCAACCAGGATGGGCAGGGATGGTATCCCTAGCCTCTGTTTGCTAGAAGCTGGGAATGGGCTATAGGGGATGGATCACTTGATGATTACCTGTTCTATTCTTTCCCTTTGGGCACCTGGCATTAGCCACTCTCAGAAGACAGGATACTGGACTCGATGGACCTTTGGTCTGACCCAGTATGGCCATTCTTATGTTATGTTCATTTTCCATAGCATTGATTCCTTCACACTCCTTCTAAGACTACCAAGAAGGGGGTCAATTGTGGTGGTGGATTTTGTAACATGGAACATCTCCAGCAGGAATTGGACTGAGGTCAGCTCATCTCACCAAGGATAAAGAGCTATCATATGAATGACTCTGATTCATTCCAGACCCATGCCACATTTATGCCTTCAGCTGTTAAGTGTGTCTGATTATCAGTCATCTATACAGAGGGTTTTTTAATCCTCAGTCAGACTATTCATAGGGAAGGGGAAAAGTTATACTTAGATGTCATTTAGGAGTCCCATGTGCAGTTCAGTATTTCTGTGTTCACCACTGGTGAAACTGTATAAAAAGAAGAAGAAAATAGGCTCTTATCTTGAATTCCTCCCTGGCTTCCAGAAACACACACATTTTTTTTCCAGACAGAAAGACTTCTACTTCTTTGCAAGTTTGCTAATTCTTTATAAAAATAGGAAAATCAAAAGGAATATGTCAAAAATGTTCATTTAAATTGACTCTCTTATTTCCAACCCTCCACATCCCCTCCCGTGCCCCTCCCCAAAAAATCCCTCTAAAACTTTCCCACTGTTTGTGGAACATGATGCCATTAGGCTGCTGACCCTCCCTTAAATACTTAAGAAAACCAGGCAGTTATAAACAGCCACCGACTAATCAATGTGCTTAACAAAGAAAATGATAGTTGGTTACATCTATATTGGGAAAATGTTCCACCAAAGATAGTGACACTGGAAGAGCTAGTGTAGCTAGGGCACAGATTTTTTTACCACCATGCTGTCTAAATCCAGAGGCTTAGATGACAGTGATAAAATCACCTGTTCTCTGTCTACAGCACTCTCTATTACTAACACTGGCAGAGCTGCACTGGTGCTGATAGATGTCTACAATAGGAAAATTTGGAGGCAAGACCCGAGGTCTGCTTACTAAACCAGAAACTGTCATTTGAGGAGAAACACCACTTTTTGTAATGTAACAAAGCAAAATGGTTGTACTTAAATGTCAGGAACTGGTTTGCCATATCAAAAAACCACCACACCCCTACACTCTTGAGATTGTTTGTTAGTTGCTTGTTCTACTAGAGAAATTCTCAATGCTGGGGTAGAGACTTGGAAGTGAATCCACAAAACATATTTTGGAGAGTAGGGAGATAAGGTGTACAAACTTTGTCTACAGAATCAAGCTTTCATTAAAAAAGAAGTTTGTGGCCATTCTGGTTGTGGAGATAACCAATCATTTGTAAATAGCTACAGCAATTAGGTTTATTGAATATTTAGCACAAAAAATCAATATTTATGCAGAAGATATGTCAAAATGTCAAAAAGAATGTTTGAATTATTTTTAATGTGCAGCTGTGGATACTGAATATAAACACGGACTTTGGCCATGTATGGCACAATAAACGTGCATTATATTTCACAGGGTGGGTGAGGTAATATCTTTTATTGGACCAACTTCTGTTGGTGAGAGAGACAAGCTTTTGAGCTTACCCAGATCCTGAAGAAGAGCTCTGTGCAAGTTCGAAAGCTTGTCTCTCTCACCAACAGAAGCTGTTACCCACCTTTTCTCTCTAATATCCTGGGACCAACATGGCTACAACACTGCATATTATATTTCACAGCATTTTAGGGGCTAGAACAGTGGAAAATACTTTGGGTAGATTTTGGGTCATGGGTGAAGCCTCAGAACCTCTGGCCCTGGACACTGTCCCACAAGTACTAATGATCATTCATGTATTTATCAGTGACAGCTCCACCTTTAGAACAGCTGGGAATCCTCACCCCATTTGTGCTCAGTCAACCCACTTCAATAGGGCCAGGATTTCACCCTTGGAGCTCTGTCCTGCCTTAGATAAACTATAAAATGTAATCCAATAAATGTATCTCAGTCCCATTTCCATGCGATAGCTGATCATTTAACAGCAGAGTGCTTCCATTTTTCAGATGTGGGATTTAATCAGGCCACTGCTTGTAGTACATACATCAAAAGATAGCTTTAACACTGCAGAACTCAGTGGAGCAACTGCATTTATTGACCAACCCACAATACATGCCTGGCACTTACTAAAGCAACCATAATTAAATGAGCACATGTGAAGCTAAGAAGGGGGTACATTGCTCACTCTAAAAGTTTGGGAACCAATATTATTTGAAACAAAAGTAAGAAGTACTGGGCGAGGTGACTTCTAGCTCTAATCTTCCTCCATGCTTTTTTCTAATGTGGTTTACCATTGTTTTGATACATTGTGCATATTGCAGTTTCTCTGTGTTCTCTAAACTCACAAAAAAGGGTATTCCCCATAGTACCTTCACTACTTTCTTTTCTTTTAAAAAAAACCATTGCGTAACAAATATTTATATTAAATCACACCTTTGAGAGTAACATGTAGAAACCAACATCAGAGCCAACAGGAAAATTTTAGAAAAGAGATATAGTAAGAAAAAAATCAGTTATTTTGATTTAATGCAGAAGGGCTAACATGTGGCCTAATTAATGAAAATAGTATTATTGTACCTTGAAATAAATATTCTTCTATTCCTTCCCACCAGAAGGAAAGTCTGGTTTTCAAAACATTGCAAACATCTCAAACACAATGGCAAACACCAACAGTCATTGGAGCCCAAGCATATAACTAACAGTTTCTATGTATTAAACACTTGAAACACTTGAGTATGGTAACTGAGTTGATTATGCAAAGCAGCTGTTACAATTACACATCCCTTAAATAAAAATGTTATACAAAACAATATGAAGAACTTTTTTTTCCAAATTCTCTTTAACTCTCCTCATTGTTCATGTTACCTTCTCAAAAAAGTGAAAGAAAAAAATGCCCTGTATCTATTTTCTCCTTTTTCTAACTGAAACTTGTTACCTTCCCACCCTCTTGAAAATAACATCATTGCTTTGGTCTATGCCAGAGGTTCCCAAAGTGGGCGATACCGCCCCCTGGGGGGCGCTGGAACGATCCAGGGGGGCAGTAGTAGCCTCGGGTGCAATTGGGGGGCGTTGAAT